ACATTATGCTAAGACAATCGACTTCGACTCGGGCACGCTCTTCACCGACCTTTCGAAATTCTGTGAACGTATTTCGCACTATCGGCTATTCGAAGAAGCTGTAGCTGTTGATATCAACCTCAAGCTTATTTACGTGGCTTGTAGCTTGTATTCGGGGCCCAGGTGCCTCACGTTCATGGATGCTATCTCTTCGGTGTTTAAAGCTAACGGAACGGTTCTGGCTGGATGCTCCCTGGCTACCTCCCTAGTCAAGGTCCTACTTTACAGGCTCATGGTCTCTATAGCAGATAAGTTCCCAGCGGTGCTAGTCAGGAATGTAGTCGATGATGTACATGCGCAGTGCCTAGGATCGACTCGCTTTGTCGCTGCACAACTAGGAGGCGCTGGACGCCTTCTTGCCTCTGGGTACAGGCGTTTGGAGCTGGTGTTGGCGGCCAGCAAGACTCACTTCATTGCCTCCAACCCCGAGTTGGCGGACGCTCTGAATCAGGAGTGGAAGGAATTCGGCTTCGCGAGGAAAAAGTACACGCGTTCCCTTGGCACGGACTCCCATGATGTTAAAAGACGAGTGCTTCACACGGCAGGGAATCGGTTTTTAAAAGGTCTTCGGAGGTCATTCAAAATGTTGAAGTTGAAGCAGACAGGGGCTAAACTTGGATCCACTCAGCGGGGGTGTCAGGACTTAGTGGGAGGCAACTACACCTGCTTCGTAGAGCTGCTGTTGCCAGTATGCATGTGGATAAAAAGGGCGCCTCGGTTGGCCTCAAGTTGGCCACGACTAAGCTCGGCCGCGTCATGAGCCCCTTCTGCATCTACCACTCCCAGGTCATAGGCTTCTGGGCGCGTGCAGTTTGGATAGGTAGGTCAGCCCTAGGAATTTTGCAGGCTGTATTGGTTTCGGCAGCTCGTGATTTGGAACGGGCGTCCAACTTGTGGGCCTCGGCGGCTGGCCCTGCTCATGTGTATCTGTTGTCTGTCCAACAGCTTGGGTGTAGCGCCCCCTCGGCCGACCGTGTCATCGTTGACGCTGGGGAAGAAATCTGTCTCACCATGCTTGCTCCCAAACAGGTGGTTTGGATGGCCCGTCGAGCTGCTCGTAATGTTTCTGATGTGGCGGCGCTTTGCAATATGGGTGAGTCGCCAGGCTGGGCCCGCCCGATTTTCTGGAAGCCGTTGGCTGGGCTCATGGGGGGCCGTCTGTCGGAAACCTGGGCGGCTAGGCACCAGTCTAGTTTGCGCTCTTTGATTTCTCAGCAACACTTGTGCCGAGCCAAACAAGCGCGCCACAAGAAATCTGACACCGACCTTTGCCAGGCTTGTAAGAGCAGACCTGGCACACTTTGGCACAGACGTTTCCTTTGTCCACATTGGGCCGCCGACCGAGGTAAGTATTGTAGCCCACGACTGCTCCGCTGTGCGTCTGTGCTACAGCTGTCAGGGCAGGACCTTGAGAAGGCGGCTTGTGGTATTTTCCCTATGCCCATAGAGGTTGTACATCGGCCTCTGTGGGATAGTGAGTGCAATATTGTTTGGATTAAACGGCCTGACTCAGGACACCTGCCAGGCAAGGTTTTCACTGACGGGTCTGGCCCTCGCCCCACCTGCCCCCTCTCCCGCAGAGCGGGCTGGGCTTTAACCCAGCTCAGCGACGACGGCTCCCTGTCAGCAGCAGTCTGTGGCGCGGTGTCTTGGGATCTAGGACCTTTTCAGACCGCGCGTGATGGGGGGGATGTTGCTATCTTGCAGGGAGATCGTGGAGTGGTCGGAGGAGAAACGGTTTTTCACATTGACTGCCAGGGCACCATTGGTGCTGTTAGTGACAAGATCTGGTCAACCTCTGTTCGGCATTCTCGATGCCATCTCTGGGAAGAAATCCACAGAAAGCTGCCATCCATCAGTGCAGTGAAGGTCAAAGCCCACCTTCCCTTCTCAGCTGTTGCCGAGGGGCGCATTTCTGAGTATGAGTGGAACGGTAATCGTGCTGCAGACGTGTATGCGGGGCGTGGAGTTAGCCAGCATCCTGACACGTCTGACTGTATGCATGCCCTCGCTGCCCTGGCAGATATTGTCAAAGAATTTGCGCGCTGGGCTGCTATCCAAGAGGTTTTGATAGCCGAGCGCGAAGACTACGATGCCTCCCCCTCCCTCCTCGGTCGACCTCTGGGGAGGTGGGTGGGTCTCCTTCTACTAGCAGTCCTCCAGGGAATTCGTCTAAGCGTTGCAAAGGCAGGCCCATGGTCGCCCCTGAAGTGTCAGAAGAGCTAAGCATCGTTGCTGCGTTGCAAGGACATGCGCTTAGACAAGCTGAGGTTTTTCTTACCTCTGGGCTGCCGCCCCGCTCCGCCTAAGAGCCCCACGGTTCTTGTTTGTGCTGCCTGTGGCGGGTATGCCTGGGAGGCCGTTCTGAGCCTTGCCAAACCACGCAACGTGTCGCCACCCTTCGAGACGCTGCGCAGACAGCGCAACCGTGCCCGTAAATTACAATTTCCCTGCGGGTCTCGCCAATACAGTGGTTGGACTGTGGGGGCTTGGAGGGCCCGCAGGCGATTGCAGCGATGCTTGTTCCAAAGCATATGTACTATGCTTGCGTAAGCCCACGGCTGATTTCTCAGTTCCTAATGTGGCGGCGTGGGGGGAGTGGTGGGAGAAGGAACACGTTGCTGCCTCTTTCGGTCTCTCTGTTGAGGGTTTTGACTCAGCAGTTACAGATAAAGCCGAAGAAGCAAAACAACTAGCCCTCAAGAGGCACCTTGAGGAAGACCAACCAAATAGGGTTGTGTAATTTTCTCCCTTAGCCCTCTGCACCGTCAGAGGTAGACTTGCTGAAGCAATGTTATTCTTTATGTGACTCGTGGATTGCCTCTGGTGCCTCGGGATGTGCGATGATGATGAGGAGCAGGAGGAGGAGGAGGAGGAGGAGGAGGAGGAGGAGACGGAGGGGGAGGAAATGCATCCTTTGTGTGCCCGCTCGAAGAACGTGCGCCCCGGGAGTGTGATATTCTGACTTGGGACGTGCTCCCGGAAAAGGAAGAAGTGCATCTCGGGCGTGCCCGCTCGAGGAAAATGCGCCCTAGGGGGGTGGTATTTTGACTCGGGGCCCGCTCCCAGGACGTCTCTGCGGGAGGAGGAGGAGGAGGGGGAGGAGGAGGAAAAGAAGGAGCAGGAGGAGGAGGAGGAGGACCAGGAGGAGGAGGAAATGCATCCCGTGCGTGCCCGCTCGAGGAAAGTGCGCCCCAGGACCTGCATCCCGTGCGTGCCCCTCCCGCCCCCGGGCGTCGTATCCCCCCCCCCCCCCCTCCCCCCCCCCCCTGCGGGGAAGGGATCAAAGGGAAGGGGCTTCCCTTCGACTCCATTACGACGTCGTTTAATTTCGCTTTGGATAGCGCGCTTGAGGAGGAGAGCCCTGGGAGGGGGAGAACGGAGACGACGGAGACGACGAGTCGAACGGAGAAGCCCCTCACACACGCCGACAGGGTCGACGGATTTTGATTCCTTCGCGATTCAAGACTCATGCTTCAGCAACCCGCCTGCTTGACCTGGCCGACTGGGTCCGCCTTCCCGACCCGCACGTCAAGGTCTGCCCGCCCGATCTGCCCGTCTGATTATGCCAGGTGATTTCTGTTCCTAGCCCATCTCCTTCTAGTCTCTTGAGTGCTTCGTCCTTCTCTGTCCCCCTTCCGTTTTCGTTTCCTTTGTTTGAGGGGCTGCGCTACATGCAGATGGCATGTAAGGAAAGTATACCCCAAGAGGGGTACGGTCGAAGACGACAAGGGCGGGTATCGAGGGTTTGGGGATATACGTGTTGAACATGTTCAAACCAGGCTTTGGGGTTTACGGTTTGGGATATACGTGCGCGCAGAGGGCGCGATCAGATAGGAGCGAACAATACTCGAAGGGGGCCCGATCTGGATAGGAAGGAGGGCCCCCCTCGGAGCGCCCCGCCCCCCGCCCACCCATGCCCTCCCCTCTAAACGCGGTTCGTGCGCGTGCAGGACCGCCGACCGCGCGACCGTGCGACCGTGCGGGCGGCCATGGCCCCCGAGCCCACCTCGCCCGTGTGGCGGCTCGGTCAGCTGCCTGGGGGCACCTGCTGCCCGCTCGCCAGCTGGAGCGCCGCCGCGCGCACGCACGCCCCGCGTGGCGGTGGCCGGGCGACGACGACGACATCGACGGGATCGTCGTCGTCGTTGTCGTGTCGGAGGTTCTCGGGGTGTTCTGGAGAAGCTCGTTGCCGCGGCCGGGCGGGGCTCGTGGCACTGGCCCAGGTGGGTCCCGGGAGGGGTCCCGGGGGCAGATTTTGAGCGGGGGGGAGGGGGTTTGCCATGAGGTCGAGGAGTCGGGTGCTGCAAGAACGGGGCCCGGGAGTCCCGAGGCAATGAGTTCCCTGCTTATTATTGAGTTCGCATCGGGTTGTCATCGGCATTGGACGGTACTTTGCGCATCGGGCCACGCCTGTTCGCATCGGGTTTTCATCGGTCGGCATGCATCTCTTGTTCGAACAGGAGCATGAGTGAACAAAGCATCCAGCATGAAGTAGACCCCCCCCCGCCAAGGAGCGCCCAGAATGAAGTAAACGACATCATTCTCCGTTGAGCTCGGAATACAACAGTTTTACCCACCCATCCCCTCCATTATTAAGCTGTGTTTTCGGGAGGGCGAGGGCGTCTGGATGTTCACTCGCAGCATCATCCCCCTCATCACCGTTTTTCCCCAGACTATCCCCCCCGCTGGGGAATACCTAACAGCGACGAGAAGGATGAGGCGGCAGGTAAACTAAATGACAGCACCCTCGCACTCCCGAAAAAAAGCTGGAGGCAGAGGCGAAAGCGTCTGGGGGACCTTTGCGGTTCGGTGCTCAATTAGGGGTGATTGTTGCTGAAATTATAATTCTACCCCACTGAAAGGGCATGGAGGAGGAGGATACTGACGAGAAGGAGAACGATATGAGAAAGACGGGAAAGATGAGAGGGAAGGGGGAGAGGGATGATTTGGCAGAGGAGGAAGAGGAGGAGCTCCTGCTCCACCTCCCAGCGCCCCTGTTCCCCCCCTTCTGGCTCAGGGGGCACAGGCCCAGCACTGGCTCGGTAGCGGGCCCGGCGGCGATGGGCGCCTCAGGCGCCAAGGAGGCCCCGGCGGCGCTGGCGACGCCCATCGTCCAGCCGAAGAATCTTCGGGCGAAGCCAGCAGACCACCTCGCCGATTGTGGCTGTGCCCGCCCTGGGCCCAGGATCAGTGTATGGGCCCTCGTGGCTTGGCCAGGGAGGCGTAGACACCGATCCTGGGCCAGGAGCGAGGATCGGTGAGGTGGTCGGTTGACTTCGCCTGGAATGTGGGGCGCCAGTCCTGGCGCTGGGGGCTCCAGCCGTGCGGGGGCGTTGAAGCGGCGATCGACGCTTTGCATTCATCCGCCATTTTCGCTCGGTCTCGGGCCATGGGGCCCTCACACGGTTCCATCCGGCACGAGAAGCCGCAGAGAGTATTTTTGTTGCCAGGCGTGATGTCTGTTCGTTGTGTTGCAATGTTGTTCGCAATCTTGGATCTCAGGATCTCATTGTTTATCAACGCCTGTGTTGCTGCCTTCCGCAGATTTTGACGCCAAGGGGTAGGTTGTAGATCAATCACCTGGTATCCACCAGGGGTTGGAATTTGATCCATGCCCCAACTCTTGTCCCTCGTGGGGTTGGGGCGTGAGCAGGTGCATGGACAGCATGCCAGTGGCTTATTGGAGGACCAGACCCCCTCGCGTCTGGAGAAAAACAACGGAGGTTCTGCCAATGTTCTGCCTAGCCCTACCGGCAAAAAGAGAGCCGAGGTAAAAAAGCGAACCACAGGGAACAATGCCCACATTGCAGAATCACGTCGTCGGGTGTCTGGGTGGAGGGCCCCCCAGTGGAGGGGGGCGCAAGCCCCAGAGGTTTTGGGCCCTCTGTTCCACCTCTCCCTCCGTCCTCCTTCACCTTCCCACACTCCCCGGAGCGCGGAGCGCGCCAGGGGCTGCGCTTGAGGCGCCGCTAGGGGTGTGAACAGGAGGAGGAACAGGGTCCCCCCCCCTCCCCTGACGCCGGCTTCTCACATTCTCCGTTCCTGGCCGAGCCGGCTCCCTCAGTGCCAGGGTGGCGCCTTCGAAGAAGCCGACCATGAAGATGTGCTGCGCGTGTCCAGACACAAAGGCAGCTCCCTCACTTTTCGAATCGGCAAAGGCCACATGAAGACAAGCGTCGGGATGTTCACGCGGATTTCTTGGGTCGGCGCTGAACACCCCTCCTCTGGAGGCGCAGCGAGCGGGGGTCCAGCGCCGACCGAAGAAATCCGCGCGGACTTTTGGAAGTTTGCTCCAAATATCCTGTGGTGTTGGTTCCTCGTTTTGAATCCGCAGCGCCGCGCCCGGACGTTTTCTTTTTTTCACAGACTGGACTTTTCACCCCAGCCGTGCTTGAGCAGCGACGATGACGGACATGCGTCGGGAGGCGGGCGAGAGACGTGACGGGAAGGGAGCAGAGGGCGAAGAAGAGAATAATAGGGACCTGCATGGCTGGAGCTTACTATCGTTGTGGATAAAAATGCAAACCAACCTTCAAGCGTACGACCTCCCGGCCGATCATGCCATCGTCCGTTGGATCTGCGATGATTGCACAATTGATGGACGCGCTCCGAGACGGCAGGCATCACAGTTCCCAGATCAGAGATGTAGGTGTGTTTGGAGACGACGCGATTTAATGCACCAGAGCACGACGATAATGGAAATTCAAGGGACCAACATTCCAGAACAAAGTGTACTAGATGTTTAACATCCCAGCGAATATTGTAGAAGCGGCCAAAATGATGAAGAATGCGACTTTGGGAAACAGGGGCTTTGATATTATTCCATTGGTTGGAATACCAATGTTGAACCCGAGGCCGATCCAACTGAAGACCCCCAAGAATAGCATTAACGATATGAGGCTGGACTCTGATCATGTGGTCAGCGTGCGCAGAAACTTGAAAACCAACAGAAATACAGTCATCTTCTCCTTCCCTGAAGTACTGCTGTGCGTATGGGTTCATAATGATGCTGATAGGTTTCCGACCCACGGCATCATGGTCCACATCGTCTGCATCCGGAGATTACGCAGCGCTGCGTTACGAACGAAGGAAGTTCCAGGAAGCAACACACAAACACGCAAATACCAGGGCTGAGCGGACTGCCTTGGGTCATGCCGTTGCAAAATCCATCAAGTGTGCTCCCAAGCTACAATTATCCAGACATCCACTCGAGACGAACCACAGTTACGACATCATCAACATGCACAGTATACTATTGAGTCGAAGTATTCCGAGAATGCTAGACGCTTCGCGTATCCCCACCAGTCCGTAGCCTTGGCTCAAGCCTTGGCTCAAGCCTGGCTCAAGCCGTCTGGTGGGCCTGCTCCCCTCGGGGCAATCTCCCACCGCTCAAGGGGGCGCCCGGACGCCGTTTGATCCTCCAGCCCAGGGCCGCAGTCCCCCCAACAGGCGACGCTTGGGGTCAGCACAGCCCAACCTCCCCCCCGCCAGGTATCTGGCCATCCCGAGTAGGAAGGGCAGGGGCGCACAGCCCAGCTAGAGGAGAAGGCAATCGCGGACTAGGGGGGCAAGGTTCCCAGTCCAGACCCCCCCCCGCCTCCAAGAGGGGAAGTGTTCCGTAATATCGACTCACCCTGCCAGGCCCCCATAGCGATGGACCCTAGGAATACCATGAGGGGAGGCCCCCTCTCAGCCCTGCTCGAGCAGCACGAGCCTAGGGATGGGCCATGGAGGGCCCACAGGGCCCCCCCCGCAGCCGAGTAATGAGTGAAGGACTGGTCGAGCTGATAAGCCGATGCTGGCTCCGACCCCCCCCAGGAAATGTAGGTCCCCCAGCGGCAGGTGGAGACAACCCGCCTGACAGGAACCAACCGAAACGGGGAGGCACAGGGAGCATCCGCAGCTGTGCGCCAGCGATGGCTCACCTGGACCTTTCCTGGCTGGTTTGGTCCATCACGGGCTCCGATCATGAGGCCAGGCTTGGCGGAGTTGGGCCGGGCCTTGTCCAGGTGCTCGCCTTCCGCCATGCCAGTCTTGCGCAAGGCCCGGACATGGGGGATGACATCCAAGATGTCCACGAGCCTACACAGGAGGAAAACCTAGCGGCGGAAATTGAATACGACACGCTATACCACGCTGCCCTCTACGTGGACATAGGGATGCGCGAGCCGACGGACGAGATTTTTCCCCCAACCCTCCTAGGCATGTCCAGGTGGCGGCACGATCCTGCGCCCGATGCGGCGGACAATGGTCCCACTGACACGAACTTGGAGCGAAAGGCCAGGATCTGCAAACACCTTGTCCACGAGCGCCGCCGCAACACAGTGCACTTTCCGGACCACAGCGAAGTCCGACGTTGGGCCGTCAGCAGAGGGCATTGGGTCGAGGCTGGCACAGATGTCTTCTCATCGCCGCAACACGGCCTAGGCCGCGACGGGCGGGTCATTCCAGCCATTCCCATCGCTGAGCCGCAGCCCCCTGGCATAGGGGGGCCCAGAGACTTTGAAGGCGACAACCCGACAGCACCCTGGCCCGTAAACAACACCTCCCAAAGGATCACGATTGGGGATTTCTTTCACCCCAAAGGCAGATGTGGAGAATGTGGATGTTGGTACACGAGGCAGGACATGAATAGCTGCATCGTGTGTCGCAGGTTAGGATCAGCATGGGTCACCGACACGAACAGCTCTCCCACCACCGAACTGGAAGCTCCCAAACACCCCCTGGATCTGCTGGCCAGGGTGGGAGCTCGATACGCCCCCATCGCCAGCCACATTGACGGCGAGCGTCACCCTTCAGAGACCACCAATTTCTCTCCGTCTCGGCTGGTGTCACATGACATGGTCGAAATGGTGTCATATGACGGTGGTCGAAATGGAGAAACATGGGGGTCGGGGCTTGCCGGAAGGGCGAATGCCCGGTGCACCAGGACCATGGGACGAACCGGCATTCTGGGCAACGGCTGGCTCTTTGGCCAGGCTCTGCTGTGCATCGATGGAATGGGTTATATAGGCGATGACGCACGTCCAGCGCGCTATTCGAGAGCACCCCCTCGGCGACCGGCCACGCGAATGGGCCCCGAGATGCCTCTCGAGCGCCCCCGCCGCCAGCATGCCGGCACAACCCCCTGCAGCGAGAGGCCCAGCTCAGGGTGCACGGGGCCCAAGGGCCAGGTACCAGCACTGCTTCGAAGGACTCCAGAACGGAGACGTGGACTGGCGCCGAAGAGAAATCGGAGGCACGTTCATCGATCAGGCCCTCGCCATCACTCTGGCAGACAGGACACGGGCGACTGACACAAGCCCTGAGGCGATTGAGGCCACAGAAGTGGCGCGCCGAGCCGCGGTGGCGGCTGCCACAGACAGCGGGAGACTAATAGCTTACAGCCTGGTTCCTGGAACCCCGCGCGGGGAGGCTCTGCGATTGGCAATAGCACTTCGGACGAGGGCGAGAGGAATCGGGGCCCCAGTAGCCCGAGAAGATAGCCAACAGGGTAACGCAAGAAGGGGAAGCCACGCACGCGCCACGAGCATCCCAATGCCAAGCCCGACCGCGTTCCCACCCCACAGAAGCGAAGGGAACGCCCGGCGAGTGCCGCAAGATATCCAGGACATCCGCAGCCAGGTTGCGAACGACAACATTCCACCCAACATGACATGGAGTCGACTGTTGGTCCCCTTTCATCTGGGGCACAGCGACAGCAGAAGGAAGAGCCACATTCGAACGTGCGTTTGAGGCCACAGGGATCCCCTGCTCCCTAGCCAGACGGGGTGGCGAAAGATGGCAACAAGTGGGAGTCGCTACTCTGGGGGGTGCACGCCGCGGGCTCGGGCTAGCTGCAGCCAGCCTGACGACAGAAATCGGAAGAGCAGTCGCATCCCCCCGGCTGGGGGGGGGGGGGGGTATATTGACCCTCCGCTGAAGGAAAGCATGATGAGAAGGCTTGATCCCCATGGGCAACTCCAGGAAGCGGTGCTAACAGCACACAGAGAAGCGGTTGAAAATGGCACGCGTCTGCGGAATGCCCGAATCCAGGACAGAAGCAACGGGGACGGGGGCGGCGCAGCAGACAGGCAGCAGCCCACCTCCCCCGCACGAGGAAGGACACAAAGCACCACCACCCCGTGGCATGATAATACCAGGCAACCGTCTGGGGGACAGACCAGCGACGGCGGCAGAGCAGCCGCGCAGGCCTTCGGCAGGGGGGGAACGCTGGACGCCCTGATACGGGCGCTCGACGCCACGCAGAGAGACGACGAGGCGGCAGGCAGAACCAGGCAACAGAACTTAGACCGCACCTCCCTCAATGGATCCGAAGCCCAAACAGTGGCAGAAGGATTGCTCAGAGAAACCAGAGCTCGACTGGACCCAGCGATTTGGATATCCAGAGCCATGTGGCTCTGCCTCTCGCCCCACTACGGCCCCCTTCTGAGGCCAGTACTCCAGGTGCGAGGCATCGACAACCCGCCCTTCGAAGCCCTCACCAGATGGCTGCAACTCGCTGATGTGCATACCCCAAATGACATCAGGCGCGTACTGGAAGAGAGGGGGGAACAACTCCCAGTTGCTTACTCCCCCACTCGGGAACCTGCAGATATGCCTCCTTCTTAAGACAACTTCACTCAAGGCGTGCCTAACAGAGGAGGAGGCACGCGCCACAACACGAATCCTCACAGGGAGTTTTTATTCGGCCATCGCTTGTGCGGCTGATCCACCTGGCGACGCGGAAGGGGCCCTCCAAACAGGCCAGCCAGAGCACACCCCGGCATGGGACACTGGTGAGGGTGAGCAAACATGCACCATCTGCTCTGCGGAGCTCCGAGGGGTGGTGGAAGTCCTTGGCATATGCGGGCATAGGTTTCACAAACAATGCCTGGAGCAGTGGAGGCTAAGTCAGCCAGGGGTCTTCAGAGGAGGAGACAACGCCATGCCAGTTCGCTGCCCCTACTGCAGGGCCAATGACAGAGGCAGCATCGCGGCACTGCTCCCCGGGCCCCCTCCCCCCGGTGAGGCGCAGGCGGCGCTGCAGCTGAGGGGCGGAGTCTTAACCCCAATCAGCCCCCACATTACATACGGTGAGCTAGCAGCTGCTACAGCTGGAAGAGCAACAGAGCTGGACTACCTCAGAGCTGACCTAGTGACAACACGGAGGCCCAACACATACGTCACGGTCAGGGACATGCAGAGAATGCAGGAACACGTTGAAGACAGCAGGAGGCCCGCAGCGCAACCGGAAGGCATGGACGTGGACGACGAGATGGACCACGAGCCAGACAGGTCTACCCCTCCCTCCGACCTCGACGACGAAGAGGGGCAGGGGAACAATAGCGCGCCAGCTCCCCCATCCAGGATGAACGCAACCCCAATCATTACTCTGGGCAGATGGGCTGCCATCCTCGCTAGGCATCCTCCCGGAGATCCCAGGCAGAGAGGACCGGCCACCTTCCCAACACCCCTCCTTATGGCAGTTGTCAGGGGGCTAAGGGCTGAGCTCGTCATTGCAAGAGCTCCGTTGGTTGGGGACAGGCATGCGGACGATGCAGGCACCACCATAGCTCTGTTCAGCCCGAGTGCCTACGAGCAGGTTAAATAATTAGTTTGCAGTAGGGGCGCCCAGGGCGAGGGACAAGGCACCCCAACCATTGTCGTAGCGGGTGCCAGCGCGTCCC